ATAATAATAATAATAATGTATATTGTGTCTGCTGTGTCTGGGAGAACTCACAGGTGAGCCTCTCTTTGAGCTCTGGAGTGGGGGCCATGTCCACGGCGCTCTTGCTGTGACAGTTGAGCAGGGTGGGGTCGGCCCCGTGGCTCAGCAGCAGCGAGCACACCTCCACCCGGTTCTTGGACGCTGCCTCGTGGAGAGGAGTGAACTGCCACAGGTCCATGGCATTCACACAGGCTCCGTGCTGCAGAGAGAACCGCACGTCAGATAAAGTCTAAGAACGGATGGAAGAACGAGCGAATCAGGATCTCCAAATCCCAACATGTTACGACACTGAAGATATGTTTGAATAGAAAAGGGAGACATCAACTGTCCCAGAATTAACAACCATTGTGTCAAAAGTTTGTTTTACTTTATTCTACATAATATATCTGAATAAAACACTGAACTCACTGTCGGTGTTTGGACAGTCAGTCTTCATTATTCTTTTAGTTATTGTTAATTCTAACTGGGTGGTCAATAAATTTTTCTGATTGTTATACGGTGAAGGAAGTTTACACACACACACACACGGAACATTATTATTTAGCCAAATAATCACAGACTAACTACGGGAACATTGTATATTGGAATTAATAAAGTTTTTAAACTTCTACAGCAGGACGGCGAAGATCAAACTACATGCAAACTTTACATATTCACAAGCTGTAGGAACAATAATGTTCCAAACACAGCCAAGTTTATCTTTGATGTATTCATTAACGCTCCAGTACAAGCTCATCGAGTTAAACCATCTTACTTTCAGCAGAAGCTCAGTGACCTCGAAGTGGCCGTATGAGCAGGCATTGTGAAGAGGAACGAGGCCACTGCAGAGACAAGACGCTCAGGTTAGTGTCAGAAATCATGAACTGAAACGGGAACTTCAGCGAGTCTTGCTGTGAAAGAGCCTCACCCTTTGTCCTTTGCGTGAACGTCGGCTCCGTGCTGCAGCAGGAGCTGAACGATGCGGACGCGGTTGTATCCGGCAGCCAGGTGGAGGGGCGTCGACTGTAAGAGAGGAGAGCGCGTTAGCAGACGCAGACCGGCGGCCGGCGGAGCGTGTGCTGCCTCCGATGGCCACGGGAGCAAGCGGCTGATTAGGGCCAGAAGCAATGTGCTATGGCAGGCTATGCTCTGTGAGTTGCAGATGAATGGCGGATACGATGATGCAAGGTCAATAAGAGTTTGTGGGCAGATCCAGCGACAGAACTCATTAGCTGTCGATGTCTGACCTGAGCGAGTGACAACAGGCAACCTCAACTACCTCGACCTCCGTTTGACAGTCGGCAAAATGTTCTTCCTACGTCTCAGGAGTTTAGAATTACGTTTGATGTGGTTAGATGACAAGAAAGAATTGCTTGTGCAACTGTTAGACTATTAAAACAGCAGGGGGGATTACAGTTGGGTGATGAGAGTAAATAATGTTAATCTTTGAGTTTTGGTTCAGAAATATTAGAGCCTGGTCAATACAGACCATCAGTGTCAGTATATGTGTTATCCAATCTGAATATATTGAGCAGAGATGTTTAACAGACAGAGGAAAGGTGTTCACACAGAGAGCAAACCATTTCTTTTGTGCTGAGATTAAATAC